CTTTTTGGCTTTCAAATAAATATTTTACCATGTGATTTGGCGCAGTTGTTATGAAGTTATATCAAAAAATATTTGTCTAAAGACTTTTGCACCAGACTGTAAACTCCGGTCTAACTTACGGTCTGGACTCCAATTTCAAATCGGTCTACAAACCGATCCAGATAAAAATCGGACCGTTAACATCCCTATGTATTTGTTACACCAAAAATCATATGAAATAATCAACTTTTGGGGATCAAAAATTTGGCCCAATTCTAAGGATGCTCGGATATGTTCTCACGGAAATCGTTACTTGTATTTGCGATCATGTAGATTTTAAACTACATTTGTCGAAATTCAAATTATTAAACGTAAAATAGGTACAAAAAAAAACCCTCTTCCATACTACTTAGATTTTTATTATGAATGATGCTTTGACAAAAAGAAATAAAATAAAATAAAATAAAATAAAATTTATATAGTCAGGATCTCATGCTAGCTTTGAAAGACGTTAACTGAAACCCTGCCGTGACGATCACGTGTATTTTTCGACCAAACTTGAAAAAATAAATATTAAAAAGCCTAAGTGTCCTCTCTAGTAGTTACTCTGCATGATTATTTGCAATTCATCATATTGTCCACGAAATGGAATACAAGCCGTTTGTTTTTGAAATTCTCAATACTTTAACTCATCTTTAAATTTTCTCGTCACAAAATCTTTATCCGTTAAATTAATCTAGATCAACTAAAAGATATAGTCAAATTTCAACCGATACCTGCGCCTCGAAAAATTTTGGAATCGAAACAATATCAAGGAAATTATAAATAAACGTCAATCAAATATTTTAAACGAGAAATCGAATGAAGATGACTTGTCATTCACTTCATTCACTTTGGGTTACGTGCCGGTTGCATTTCAAGTTTTATAATAATCAATACTAACATTATTATATTGAAAGAACATGATCTCGAGTCGACAAGAACAATTGAAAAAATTTTTTTTCATGGGGCAAAATCAAAGGTTTATTTTTCTATGAATTTAAAGAAAAGTATATTTATAGTAACTATTCAAACTTAATATAGCTATATTAAGTTACTAAAAAAGGAACAAATAATGCGAACGCTTTTGCCTTATGATTATCGTTTTACAATGAAGAAGTTTAAAAAAAAAAAACTTTTCGAGAGATTTATTTTACAACGATTATCATAAAAATTTAAGAGAAAATTTTCAATAATGAAAATTTTAATAATAATTTTATTAATAACACAATAACCAGCCATAGGGATAATTTTTTTTTAATCGACCCAGAACCCACTTTTACTTTTTTTGCTTAGGTTTGATTAATTTCTTACCCGGTTTGATCTTGGTTTCGTTTATATCAGGTTAACATGTTTCGCCCATCGTTATAAATAGAATAATATCGAAATTCCTTTATTAGTTTACGTTACTTTAACTCTAAATAAAGCTGATGAGATCGGCAACTTGCTAGGCGAGAATTAGTAAACACAAAAAGATAATGACAATTTCTATAATTGGACTATGAAGAGATCGCATTTTAGATCGATCAAAAAAAAAAAGTTTTTGTGATTTTCATGAGGTCGCAAGTAAAAGTAGAATTTTTAATGAAAATTCCATTATTGGAAACCGCTTTTAAATAAGAAAATAGTTGCAAGTAAAAGCCACGTCATTTATCTTTCAAATAAGTATATAAACCTCTTCGTTTCAACCTTCTATTGTTTCTCTGAAAGTAATATACACCATAAAAAGAAAATTACTAAAATGAAATCAATTTTTCTTGTACTCGGCCTATTCGCTACGTTAGCCTTGGCTTCTTACCAAGACAAGGACAAACATTATGATTACCACGATAAAAACGTTAAATCATATGATCCTTATTATAATCCTTGGGTTCCTGCTAAATATTACGATCACAAAGATTATTATGATGAGAAGGAAAAGCATTATAGACGCTCAAAACGTTCTCCTGTTCCGACCGATGATGGTAAAAAGGACGAC